CACCATACTCATAACCATCTATATATAAGTATGCTATTGCAAGCTGAAATGGGTTTTCAAAATGAAGGTGAGGTTGCACGAGTTTGGTCAACACCTGTATCTGTTAATTACAATCGAAAGCTTCCCACTAAGTCAGGTCATCCATACAGATTTCCAGCTAGCTGACCACAAACGTACCAGGTTGGGTTGAGAATTCGCATTTAACTCCACAGTGACTTGTGAGTAATTGTTATTGATTGACTGGGTTCGGAGTTCCAATCCTGGATGGGACGGCGGATATACACTACTAATGAGCTCTTCTAAGAGCGAAACTTGAGTCTCGTGCTTCCGATTGTTTGGTTGACTGGAAGAGCTAAGATATGTGCGTGAAGGTCAAGTCTAAAGAATGGTCAGTTCTAATCAATCAATCAATCAATATTAATTATTCCACACCACTATTCAAAATTGACTGTATTGTGTATAACTTTTGCAAGCACTGGACCTCACATTTCGGTTAAAAAATCATACATGCTAACCGTCACAATGTACATAACCAGCGGGGAGAAAAGTTTTTACAGGCATGGGGACACTTCATAACCCGAGGTTAAGAAAAAGTTCAATCATTGTTTACCCTTTGTTTGTGGGTAGACGAACAAGATACGGCATAGGTGAATTGCGGTATATGTTAATTCGAGATGAAATTTGGCGGAATTAGGAGCGTGTTGAATGATGGCAACGACAAAGTGTCAGTTCTGCGTACAATGGGTGGTCAGGATCTGTGAGAATCATCTAAGCAAATTTCACACCGGAAGTTGTGATACTCTGAAAGCTATGCAGCTGATTCATTCACAGTAATAGAAGAGAAATGAATAATAATGGTTAGACGGCGGCGTAAAACTTTCCGATCCTGTTTGAGTAAACCAGGAAAAATAACTGGGGAACACTAGGGTAAGATAGGGAAAACACACTGATAAACAAAGGTAGAAATAATTGACTGGGATGTGCGAAACTGCCCGAGCTTCCTGATGTGAAATGAAAGGCGCCACAGTTTACCAATGCAGTTGTGGATGTGCGTGGACCAATGAAGATTGCTACCTATGGTCACACTAAGATATTTGACAGAGTTCACCCTGGATAAAGGATTGCTATTGATCACTGTGGGGTCTGTCGGATATGGGGAGCGAGTAAAACTATATAAACACTCAAAACATTTACTGGGGTTCAGGGTTAGCCTCTGTGAGAAGGAGAATGGCTGAATTTGATCAAGATTATTGGTGAAAGAGCTGAGTAAGAAGAAATGGGTTGGCACAACACGACATCATCTGCATATTTCAAAATACGTACGGGGGAAACACAGGGAAAAACACAAATATAAGTGGCAAATAAGTACGGGGATAGCACAGCACCTTGGAAGACCCCGGAGTTCTTGATTAAGGGTTTTGCTGTGGCCTTCCCCAATTTAGTGGTTTGTACCCTATCGGTAAAATAATAGGATAACCAAGCTAACAACTGCGTGGGGTATTTAAACGATTCCAGTTTTTGTAACAACTTAGATCGAGGAATGGAATCAAATGCAGAAGAGCAGTCCAGGAAAACACACCCAACAGACTTAACAGAGCTGTTCAAAGATTTAGTGATGAAATGAATGAGTGTGGAGACTGCGTCCAAGGTCGATCTATTAGGTTTGTAACCAAACTAACGGATCACTAGGAACGTTTATAGACTGCTGAACGCGTTTTAGTCAATTTAAGAGCTGAAGATGTTAATGCTATGGGACGAAAACGTTTGGAAAGGATAGAAGATTTGGATGCTTTGGGGACTGGTATGATTGTGACCAGCATCCAACAGTCGGGGATGGTAGAAGTGTGAAGAGATTCATTTACAATCTGAGGTAATTGCCCCAGCTAGGGAAGCAGCACCAAATTTGAAGAGGGCTGGATGTAAGTCATCCGGGCCTGCAGCAGAAGACGATTTGCAACTTTTTAAAAGTTTTAACACATCACAATATGTGAGTGGTTCCACGTTACAAACATGGTAGGAAGAATGTCCGAAAATGCGGCATTGAGATCATTAGCATCCACATCCAGCTTCGACCGTACGTTTTTCTTTCCATAGAGAAGTCCTATAACTTGCCACAGGTGTTTGCTGTTTCCAGTCCATTGAATTCGATCAGAGAATAATGTGTTTAATCTATTTACTTCAGCTTTGATAAGCCTGGACAAATACCTAATAACTGAAGCATTGTGAGATTTGTACGCACGTTCCTTTTGTCGTCTTCAATAGAGGAGAGTTTATCCTTCCGTTGGATACATAGAGACTTTGAACAGAACAGCAGTATTTAAAAATGGCATTGATTGTTTGGGTGAATAGAGAAATACATGTGAGCGGAGATGATGAAAACCATAGGGAGGCCCGTCTGAGAGATTCATTCAGGAGAGAAACACGAGTAGGTGAGAAGTTACGAAAACGAAATCTGATGTGCTCAGATCGGGAGAAAGATTTGTATGCACTGTGTGAATAAACTTTAGGTTGAAATAAGAGTAAGCAATGGTCACTGGAAAAAATAGGAGCTCTAAGTGCTAAAGAAAAAAGGGTTGGGTGGTTGGTAATAACTCTGTCCATACAGTTACCTCTTGTGGGAGAGTGACAGAGATCTGTCATACCCAATGATAAAAGTGGATAAGTGCTAGTATGGTTGAAGTTACCAACGATTATGTGCAGGTTAACATCTAAAAGTGGGGCAATAAAAGGTATGAACGAGTCGAAAAATGACGTACGATCGGACTGTGTACAGGAGGGAGCTATATACAAGTTAGTCAAAATTGTGTGAGTAAAACGGGAAAATCTAGGGTGACACTGTATAGTTAGGCCCTCGATACCTTTTGAGCAGTACTGATAAACAACATGGGACTTGCCACACCAGGAAACGTTGACGTATGTGGCAACAATCCCCTCCGGTCCCACGATCCTGCCGGTAAATTTGAAAACCGTCCATTGACACTAGAGAGTCATCCACGTCCTTATTCAACCAGGATTTGAATAAAGAAGCCAAAAACACAGGTTTGCACAATGTATCCTGGATCATTTCGCTACATCTGTACACGTGCATACTGCAGTCTATGTGAGCATTAATATATGGTCAGTAAATAACAGAATCATAGGCGGAGAAAGATTGCGGTTTGTGTTTTTGGCTTCTTTATTCAACCAGAGTTCTTGAACACATACTGCACACGTGTTCGTGTGAATTCTTGATCGGAGAACACTAGTTAAATCCGACATTTTGGGAAACAGGGACCGAGTGTTGGTACTAACTAATGAGGACTGTGAGTTAAATGCTAATCAAGAAGTCATTGCACCCATTCACTGAGACTATCGTAGTGACCCGGCTAGCTACCATCCCATCAGTCTCCTGCCCACAGTGTCCAAAGTCATTGAATTCATTGTCGCAACCTTCGTGATGGAATATTTGAGGAAGGACAAAATATGCTCTCTAGCCCAATACAAGTTTTGGCAAAAGCCATCGCGTGGCACCAATTCGGGGTCTGGCCCGGGATCTATCTGCACGAGGACAACCGGTTGGCGTAGTATCCAAAATTCCGCCCCCCTCCCCAGCTAAACCGTATTACTGAATGACGTCAATACTCTTCTCAATTGGGCTATTCAATACGGACTGAAAGGAGAGATAATATTATCATAGAAATAGCATTGTGTTGAAAGTATAAAACACCAATGAACAGACCAGTATGAGGATCAGCTCCAGCGCAAACCAGTGTTTGAACACAGGCTAATTGATTCCAAAAAGCAGCACTGTGTAGCGGTGTCCAACCGTCCTCTGTACGTGTGTTAAGCTTCGCTCCAATTTGTATGAGGCGCTGCGGTAGATGTGAATGAGAAAAAAGCAACGACCGGAGAAGAAACTAGTTAGAGATTATCATAGATAAGGTTTATCTCGGAGAAAATTTGACCCAGAATTAGAAAAAAATCAGAGTACTATCTTTGTGGGTACAACAATGACCGCCGACGATCAACAACACTGGGCCAGCATGGAATCACACGGACATTTACACGCAACAGGCACGGAAGAGCAAACAAGTCAACAACAAGCGGCAGTCGATGTGGGTATTTGTATTCGATAAACTGGTCCGCGAAACACTAGTGACTGGTGAGTAATGCACCCAACCAGCGGGCGCAATGCAGATCACCGTGTCAATCACAAGTTCTGTAAGCCCATCAACGAGTGAACGGGGAAAAATGTCCTATTCCAAGTGGTTTTATCGAAGTAAATACTAAGAAATACATTTTGAGGAACAAAGGAAATGGTGACGAAGAAAAGCGATTCCACAATTGGATCGCTATTCGCTTGCTATGAAAGATTCATGCGATTAACTGTCGACAGAAAGAAGCTTGCGGAATTTTTAGTAAAATATCTTCCCCCATACCTACTTTGATCAAATGGGAGTTAACTGTTTCAGCAGAAACAACATGATAATTTATCACTTGAGAATGCAGCATGTAGTGGATAACAGAGTTACCTAGGCAATGATGCAACACAGGACTTGTAGACGACAAAGGTAAAAGAACACCCACCTCGAGCACGGCCACGTGTCCCCCGTAGGCCGCACGATGAAGAGCCGTATAGCCGTCCCTGTCCGTGGCAGCTAGCATTTCATCAACTGTCGGATGCGGGAGATTGGGTATATGCTTGTTCGCTCGAGTCACCAGTTCATTGATCACGTTCAAGTCACCGTTTTCGGCAGCCACGATGAACCGTTTAGCGGGATCCGCTGAATGAAGATCACAAAATCATCAGATCCGAAAATTGATTAGCCGTATGATAAAATAAGCTTCGACGATATATGTATCCACAAAGCTTATCTTGACCTGACTTGGATGGATAAATAATTGGGAAAACTCAGTTCACAATTCAGACTATAAATCCCTCACGAAGAAAATTCCGCTTGGACGATCTCACATGCAGGAGAACATAGGCGTCAAAAAGCGTCAATCTGAAGATAAATGGAAGCTTGATTCATCTGCTTTAGGCTCAACGGTACCAATCACAGCCTTCAGCGTTTTACTCGTACACACTCGTATAACGAATGGCATCGTTCTCAGTTTAGACTACCACTAGGCTTGCAGTCATGTGCACCGATTTCGGTTACTGTTTTTCAGTTAGCCATTTGATGGACATAGGAACGGAGAACAAAGGCACCGAGAATAGTTGTGATTGACGGAATGAAGATACAAAAGAAAACCAGAAGATTGGTACATGGATTACTATACAGCGAGAAGACTGAATTCATAGTTTCAACAATATCTCCCCTACATCCAAAAGGGATCAGTCTAACTGACTTCTCCACAATACAGATTCTGAGAGAACAAGTCGACAACTTTGGGTATCACCAACTTAGACCCGAATTTTTTCTTCACCTAAAAACAGTTCTCAAAGTCATCACATGATGAGAAATTACTAGTCAGGACATACGGATATCTCCGATCCAGGTATTTGGTATCTCGAAAAGAAAAAAAAATGTTACCTAATCTGATCTAAGGTAAGTCACCATGACAGAGATATCACCGTTAACACGTGTTGAAATCTATAACAGTGGAAATACAATGAGGACAGTAAATCTGAAGGAACTGCGAAACTTTAGCTCACCTTTTATTTGAGCCTTACTCCACGAGTCAATATCGTTTTCATCTGCCTCCCACGCGCTTACAAACATTCCAGGATTGTCACGTTTGGCTGCCATCACCTATTCGGAGGGATAAAAAGAAACAATTAACCATATCCTTAGGCGTTCTGCTCGACACGGTTGCAATGTAAGTGTTGATCAATGAACTAATCCTGTTCATGATTAAAAAATGATTAATGTCATCGCATTTATTCTAGTATTCGGTTCATCAATGTCAATCTAACATCAAAGACAAATGAATCGATTTATGCCATGATTCATTTTAGGACAGTGAGCTGAAAGACGGCTTTCGTAAAACTACTCATCAAACACAATTTAGATCGAATCTCAGAGAAATTTTGAGTGTCATACATAGGGTCAAGTGGAGTACTGGTTCCATAATGGGAGTTTCGTCGTATCCCCCAACACCCTGAGAATATTTGATACGGTATCGATCAGGAACCCACGAACCTCGAATTAATCAAATCGAGCGCGTTGAACAAAAACTGATCTCTGGTGCTATCACAACGAAAATCAGCTTAAACGGATGTTTTTGAAGCAAACAGAACATTACTGTGCAAACAACAACCCGTCGCGTAAAACGATGCGAACCACTACCTGGAAGTTAAACTAATTGGAATACAAGAGTTATTGTTAGGCGACAATAAAAAGTAATTCCAGCAAGATTTCTACGATTCATTGGTCCTATCCCTACGCCACAAGAGAAGATTCTCCTATTTCCTCGGAAATCAGCAGCTACCACATACTAAAAGTGAGAAAAACTTATTTATTGTTGTGCAAGAGGATTTAAGCTGCTCAATCAACTGCGCTAAGGCTTCGTCCGCTGCTGTGAAGAATGTAGGCTTACTTAGGCGAGTCTTTGGTCGGTTAGAATCAGCACTCTTCCCACGTTTGTTATCAGTGTAAATTCGACTCTACACAGAGTACGCCATTCAAGCTTGAAGCCCATGGTTGCAACGTGATCGCAAGATGCTTGAGCGCACACAAAGGATAGACACCAAGATAGTCAAGAGATTACATTGTCTCAAATATGAGGAGAGATTACGACCATTGGGACTATATTCTGCTCAATATCACCGAATTCAGGGAGACGTGATTTAGACGTATCAAATACTGCAGAACCCAAACCATTCATGTCGGCTGCTGTTAATGTTATCAAACAATGTACAGCTTAGGGGACATCGTTTCGAGTGTCGACTGGAATGCCGGTGCCGATCTTTTGCACTCAGTGTATGCAGTCCTTGGAACACCCTCCCATCTCACTTCGTTTGTGCACCAACTATTGAATCTTTCAAGCGGAGAATTGATGAAACCTTGGTACACCTAACATTCCTACACCATTAAAGCAAACGCAAATTCATTGAAGCCTGTATTCTCTATAAGCTCCTACTTGGAACTGTAGGCGATTTTTCGCCGTGAAACGATTCAATTGTGTAAATATTCTATGGGGACAAGAAAAGCATGAATTTGTAAGCAATTCCCATGATAAAACTTTGACCCTGAACCAAGTAAAAAGAAGCCAGTGGCCGCGAAACCTGATTATGTAAATCTCAATTGCTAGTAACACATGTATGGGTCTTCTAGACCCCGGCAGAGCAATATGACTGTGGAAAATGACGTAAACTATTCCAATACTCTTTCACCATGTCTAACTGACCATTTTTGTTATCGTTTTTCTGAGTGTGCAGAAAGACATTGCAAGAGCATGAGGATCAGAACAAAGCCAAAGGAGTTTCTGATGGTCAAACACTTTGATCAGTTTTCAACATCGATTAAGCAGTAAGCCGTGAGTAAACCCGGCAGCATTGACTCAGTTACCTTAACATACCTGTACATAGATTGTGAAGAGACTAGGACGGGAAATTCGATGAAATTTTGGTATTCGCTATTCATGAGCACCATGTCTGCGAGTTGTAGAGGCCGACAGAACTGCAATGGCATACACCTAAGTCGATAGGACGTCAATAGCACGGATGACTCAGAATAGATAGTGAAATATTTCTGTATGCAAGAAGTAATAACTTGGAAAATGTACCGCACGATGATTTGGAGCCGTATAACCATTTCGGTCGTGGACGACAACCAGTTTGTGGTCAGCGGAACTGGATAATTTGGGGCGTGTTCTCAGATTGCCGATAGACGAGTGAAAATCGATTTGGTGGACACTACTCTACCGAACATGTGCTACACGGTTTTTCCGTCGNCCGTCGTCCAGGTGAGTACCACCACCTGGCCATGGGGACCTTATGTGGTTCACCACTCCAAGTTCCAGGGGCTAGGTTATCGGTTACCTCTCATCTCACTAGAAATTTTGCAACTAACAGAATCACTACTCAAGCACACGCTCACTCGACAATCACACTCATTATCTTTCGCGAATTGACCCACAATATTGATTCTATACATCAATTTTTTTTATTTTTTAATTAAAAACAACTTTTTTCTCTAAAGATATCATCCATCTTCAGTTTTCCAACTACTCTCTTCATAATACAATCACTCCAAGCTGGTGTGTGCTTTTCTCCATCAGTTCATCGGTCCCCCCGCCCTGTTCTCTTGATTTAATCTCACTAACCGCCCACCTGAATGTCTGAAAATTCGGTTCTCTTATTTCAATCACTATTACTGCACTGTGTACCGTTCCTCAAATAGTAGTGACCCTTCATTCATTCTTTGATATTTTATCAGCAAACATCATTTCAGCAAACCCCGAGCTCAGTGCATCATTTCGGGTGATTTTAATGTCCATAACAGGAAATGACTTGCACACACTTCAGGGACAACGCCCCTCGGACGCGAAGTAGAATCATACGCCCTATAAAACAACCTACACCAACTGGCCGATTTCCCCACCGTGATGTCGACGACGCTCATGCTCTCGATCTTATTTTCACATTCAACCCACAATTATTTTCAACTGTCGCAGCAATTCCTCCCCTGGACTCATTGGACTATTGTCTTCTTACGCTTTCTATCCGAATTATCCGTTCCACTGTTTCTCCCAAGTCTAGAACATATTCTCGCGATACGGTTCCATTAATTGGTGCAGCTTTCGTAACCTTCCAGCTTACCACCCCTGAAAAGACTGTTGTTTCGCTGCCGATGTCCCCATCTCGGTTTCGAAAATTCTCGAAGTTCTTTTGCGAGGCATACACCTATTCATCCCTTGCTTCGCTAAACCCGACAGACCTCTTTCCCCAGAATAGTTCAAACAAGCCTACTGTCGTGCTGTTCTGGAAAAGAAATCAACGTTCTGTCGCTGGTGTCTTTCATCCCCCTCCCCCCCCTCTCCCCTCTCCCCAATTGTTTCCACTAACGGTTCTTGTAAGCACACAACTACAGAGCCATCATACAAAAGGTTAAGGAGTACATACATGTTTTCATATGCGCTTGATGCCAGACAAATCACGGTACAATAATCTTTATCAGAAGAAAACTGATTCGCGATTTGCATGTGGGCTGAATACTGCCAGATTGCACTGGTCAAGGCAGGTGAATTTTCTTGAGAAATCCACAACCAGGACCTTCGGTTAGCCAAAGCCTCACCCGTAAGGCAGTGGTGTGGTGTGTGAAAACCGCTATCAATTAGGGGCCGATATCCAATTCATCGGATCATACGCCTTTCGGACAAGGTCAAACGTCCTAGATGCCCAATCAAGCCGGTTACCACTGCCACAACCAGGAAGTTGTGTGTGGTTCATACGCTTCCTCATGGTTGGTTTGGAATCAGGGTTTTGGCCAACTCCCCTAGGTCAACTACCAGTGGTTCACCAACTCGGTTAAGGAATGCTTTGTGGAGCGTAAAGCAGCAGTTACTAACCGCTCCTTCCGGAATTAATAAGTTTTGGTCATGTGCTAGGGTAGTCTCCCCTAACTTCCGATCAATTGTTAAACCATCTGGTGACTTAGTGTCCAACCGCTTGTCAACCACGAAATTGCACCTTCGCGTAGTTTGGTGACGTGTGAACTTCTGTGGCCCGATAAGCTTCATAGGATGATTTTTGTCAAGCTGAAAATCGAATCATGCCTGGAAGGTAGAAGGGTTCGTTTCAGATAGTCTAGTCTCTGGGTCGTCCAGATTGGGATTTTGACTACAATTGGCGTCTCATTCAGCAAAACGATGGGGTAACTGACCCAAACCAATGGGCCTCTGCTCCGCGTCACTCGCTGCCTTGCGGTTAGGGTCTTGTCAGAACTAAAGGCTTCGGTTGAGAACTTTGATCGTTCTTCTCCCTAATGGCTAGACACCTTGGCAGTACTCGTTCAACAAACCCTAATACAAGCATAAACAGTGAATAGCATCAAACTGCATCGAGTGAAGTGGGTAGTGATAAGTGGGCTAGTGTTCAGATATCCCGACCTTTGTTGAACTCTTTGCCTGCTACACCCAACTCTCCTCTGCAACTTTTTCCAACTAGTAACAGCCCCTCGAGCAACTTGGTGTTCGCTCACCAGTGATCGTTGTCAAGTAGCACCACGAAGCGGATTGCAGATTCTGAAACCTTTTAGATTACTGAATCTGGGGCCTTCAACGTGAGGACTATGACACAAATGGATCAATAAACTTATCTGAAAATTACGATGGAATCCTTAAGATGGATATTCGTTGTATATCAGAAACTCAAATCCAAAATCCTACTATTATAGATCACCTTAGTGCCCCGGATTTGTCCTCATACTATGTCCTTAGCGCCTAAGACGACGATGGAGCTCGGTCGGTCAGTCAACGCAGGGTCAAAGTTCGTATCGATTGGATCCCCATCCCCAGTCGCTTATGTGCGATGCCGATCCAGAAGTTCATCAGCGCCCGGGAGGAAAGCAACATCAAAGGGTGTTTGTTCATCACATCGGCATGTGTGCCAACCAACAGCAGTTCTGACACGCAAAAGAACGATTTCTACGATAAACTCAACGAACTCATGGGGTTGAACCAAAGCTCCGATTTAGTTTTAGTTGCAGGTAACTTTAACGCGCAGGTTAGAAAACTGAGCGCATCAGAAGCTTACCTAGGCGATCGTAATGCACTGTCCTGACAACGAATAGATAACAGCGATCGACTT